TGGTCCTCTTTCCAGATTGAGTGCAGGCATGGACAGAGCTCATGTACAGTTCCAAGAGCCCATGGGAAGACATTGGGAGACTAACCACTAATCAAGGTCTCTCCCCAAAGAGCAGAATCTGGGGAAGTCTGGGATGGAGACTTAGGGAACAGTCAGAAATTCATCCTGACCATTTTGGAAAATCTGGGGTTCAGAGAAAGAACCCGCCCAGGTCAAAGAGAGCCAGGCAGACCTTAGCCTGGAACCTGAGACTCTGGGGATCTGGGCAGACAAGGGAATCAGACCACCAGGTTCAAAGACTGGCTTGGGTAACCCTTGAGGGCTCAGTTTCCCCATATGTAACATAACACGGGGATAATGATGCTGACTTCTTTGGGTGTTGCAGGGATCGAGATGACAAATGTACATGTGTGGCCTGGAGTAAGGCTTGGTGTGAGCCTCCATGGGAGCCAGCACTTGAGGGGCCTTGCACCTTCCCGGACGGTAATAGTGCAACCCATCACAGCAGGTGGTGCCTGCTTTCCATGAGAAGCCAGGCCAGGCTGAGGTCCCCGCCCCCGCTTACCAGCTGCCGGCAGCAGTGAGAATCCGGCTGGTGAGCACTGTCTCCCACTCCTTCCCTTCCCGGTTGCACTTCAGGCGGCTCAGCTTCACACCCCCCACAGCAGTCACTTCATTCTCCACCTCTATGTACATGGAGGGGTCGGAGCTCACCTGGACGGAGGAAAGCAAACACATGTCTTTTCAGGAGACAGTGGGCTGGTTCAGATGTGGGCCATGGGACAGGTGAGATGTCCAGAGGCCCTGCAGCCCTGGGCTCTGAGGCAGGGGGAAGACACTGACAGGTAGACTAGCTGGCTGGCCAACAGAGAAGGGTGATGGTGGGGAGCGGTCACAGGACTGGGTAGGAGGGCCAAGGGGCCAGAGGGTCAGATATGTGGCTCCCCAGGGCAGGGAGAATGCTGGGAGCTGGTTTCCCACCACCTCTTTTCACAAGGGAGTAACCTGTCCCAAGAGCAGGACTTTACCAGCCAGGGACAGAGCTGGGAGAGAGACTTGGATTTGTAGCCTCCTAATTCAAAGATCCTCCTATCTTTAAAGATTGCTGTGTTTGGCAAGAACAGTGCTTGGAAGGAAAATCCCCAAGGTGCTCTCCAGTTCCCATGGCAGTGAGCCTCACTCTGTCAACTGAGACCAAGGTAGCAGGCATGTCCCCAGCATAGCAAGCGTGAGAAGTGCCTATTTCAGTGCCTGATACCAAATGGGCTCAGCCTCATGTGTGTCTGGGGAGCTGACCAACAGATATGCTGTATGGAAGACCAGGCAGAACTGCCACAGTTGGAATTCGCGTGGCCACATGAGTGGGTAAGCTGGAGCAGAGGGCCAGCTATAGCCTGGAGCCTTTGTCTCCACAGACACCCAGACAGCAAGAACAGTTCCAAGCAGTGCTCAGTGTTGAAGATGCCCAGGGGAAGGGCTGGAGGAGTTTGGGAGGGGAGTTTTATGCCGAAGGCCAAGAAGCAGGGCATCAGGAAGGAATTTGAGTCAGGGCACTTGTGAGCTCAAGAGCACATCTGTGTGCTGGTGACTGCTGGTGGTGCCCCCTGCCTCCACTCACATCAGCAACAAGAACAAACCATGTAGGTCCCTACCCTTTGGCTCCACCTGCTTCAGTCCTCTGCACCATGGCCCAGAAGAAATAACATCTGGGAAGGGTCAATGCCTGCTCTCCAGGGCCCTATGAAGACCAGCCTGGGCCCAGAGCAGTGTGTGGCCAGTGGGAATATACACAAGGTCCAAGAAGGTTGGCCAAGGATATGCACTTGAGCTGAGGTACAAAGGGTGTGCAGAGAGGTGAGTGTGTGCAAAGGCACCATGGCATGAGAGTCCTGGACACTGGTGCTTGGCTGTGACCAGAGGGCTTCTGTGTATAAAGGATTATTTGCTCTAGAATTGTGTTTTGAATAAGCACATGGTTACTAGCTTCCACTCTGAGAACTCAAACAGCTCTGACAGTGACTCAGTGCTGGGCACTGAGAAGCAGACAAGGCCACCGGGGCGGTCGGGAGACAGACCATGACTACAGTCCAGGGCACCAAGACTGAGGCTGCCCAGGGCCAAGTGTGGAGATGGAGAAGGCTTCCAGGAGAAGGGACACCGAGATGAGTCTTGAAGGAGATGGCCATCCAGAAGATGTGATGGTAAGGGCAGCCCTGGCGATTGGGACTTCAAGAGCAAAGCCACAAAGAGGCATGAGGATGGGGGAGAGGAAGCAGCGATCTTGCTAAGACCTGGCGGGTACCCAGATCAGCTACAACTTCCTCTAGAAGGTGATGGAGAGCCACTGGAAAACAGTACCTAAGGCAGTGACAAGATAGGGTTTATACTGGAAGAGAGAAAACATGTGTACGTGCTTATGAGGGAGAGTTGGCAGAGGGTCCCAGCACTCACCTGGAGGGTGAATGCTCTCTGGGGGCCTGGAATCGGCAGCTTCAGTGCAAGTGTTGGTGCAGACAGACACATGGCCTCCTTCTCTGCAGTCAGGGCAGCTGGAGACTGGAACAGCCAGAAACATCCCTGAGTCCCACTCTAACACTACAGGGGTAGTGTTAGGAAAAGGTAATTCACCCAGAGGTGAAGCTGAGCCTGTTATAAGGGCATTTCCACCTACTCAGTGAAGGAGAAAGCATAGGGGAATGCTACAATGATCCCCACCTTACTACAGGTAAGGTAGATGATAACAGAGAAACCGCTCAAGAATTCTGGGTAGGTCAAGGGCAGCCCCGAGGAGGAGTGTGGCCTCTGTGCTACATTCCAGGGGGATACATGTCTAAGTGAGCAGGTTCCCCAGGTGTCCCACACTGATGAGTCACACCACAGAGTGTGACTTGCAGAACTTCTAATCACTAAGCACAGAGAGGCAGGGTAGGGGAAGGCTACATTCCAGGGATGGGCCCACAGGCCTCACCTGAACAGAGAGAGACACAGGCATAAGGCGGGAGTCCTTTCGAGGACGCCCTTTCTTCTTCTTCTCTACTGTCTCTACCTCGAGCTCCAGTTTTCTCTTGGATAGTGAGGAAGGCTTGACCAAAGGGACCTTTTCATCACTGTCACTGCTGCTCTCCAGGAGGTCCCGGGGCCTCAGCTCTTTCACAAGGTTCTGCTCTTTTAACCTGCACAAAAACGTTATGTCACACTTCCCTTCAAGCAAGAAAAATGTGAAATGAAATATTTAGTGTTTAAGAACCCCCCCCAACCTAGAATTCTGTATCCAGTGAAATCATGCATCAAAAGTAAAGGAGAAATAAAAAGATTCTCAGGAAAAACAAACACACACCTCAGGCAATTTGTTCCCAGCAGATCTGCCTTGCAAGAAATGTTAAAACTTTTTCAGAGAGAAGGAAAATGATGCAGGTCAGAAACTCACATGTGCATGAAGAAAGGAAGGGTGTTAAAGAAGGAATATGTGAATATAAAGTAAAATCTTTTATTTTTCCTGTTCTCAGTTGATCTAAGAGATAACTTTTTGTTCAAACTAATAACAGCAACCATGTATTAGATGATTATAGTTCATGATGAGTGAAATAAATGGTAGCAATATTATAAGGGAGAAATTGGGAATACCCTATAATAGGATACCTGTACTATCCATGAAGTGGTATAAAAGTATGTGCAAACTGTAGGGCAACACCAAAAGGGTTTTTAAAAAGAAGTAGAATTGATGATGCTAAAAGAGGAGAGAAAACAGAATCATATAAAATGTTAAATTAAAACCACACAAGGCAGGGCCGGCCTGGTGGCGCACTGCTACAGTGCGCCGCTTGGGAGTGCGGCAGTGCTCCCACCAAGGGTTCAGATCCCACATACAGACCGGCCGCTCACTGGCCGAGCGAGGTGCGGGCGCAACACTGAGGGTTGCGATCCCGTTGCCGGTCCCGGTCCGGTACGGGCACGACACTGAGGGTTGCGATCCGTTGCCGGTCACGAAAAAAGACAAAAAGAAAAAAAAAACAACACAAGGCAGAAAAAGAGGGGAAGATAAAAAATAAAGAATAAATGGAATGAACTAAAAACAGTTACAAATATGGTAGATATCAATCCACTACATCAATAATCACCTTAAATGTAAATGCTCTAAATATACCAATTAAAGACAGAGAGTGACAGAATGGATGAAAAAAACAAAACATTTTTAAAAATGGGTTTATGTTTTAAAACATATATAATTTTCACTATACAAGACACATAGATTACAAGTAAAGGAATGATTTCAACTGTATGACATTCTGGAAAAGGCAAATCTATGGAAACAGTAAAAAGATCAGTGCTTGCTGGGGGTTAAGGAGGAGGGAGGGTTGAATAGGTGGAAAGCAGGATTTTTAGGGCAGTGAAACTATTCTGTAAGATATTGTAATGGTGGATATGTGTCATTATACATTTGTCAAAACCCATAAAAGATATAATACCAAGAGTGAACAGTAATGTAAACTATGGACTTTGGGTGATAATGATATGTCCCACTCTAGTGTGGGATGTTGATAGTGAAGGGAGGATGTGTGTATGTGAGGTCAGGGGGTATATGGGAACTCTGTACTCTGCTCAATTTTGCTGTGAACCTAAAACTGCTCTAAAAAATAAAGTTTATTTAAAAAAAAGTAAAGGAATGTAGAAAGACATGCCATGCTAACACTAATCAAAAAAAGGTGGAGTAGCTATATTCATTTCAAAGCAGGTGTCACAGCAAGGAAAGTTATCAAAGATAAAGAGAGGCATTACACAATGGTAACCTTAATTCCAACCCTCAATTCTCCAAGAAATAACAATCCTTAATTATGCATATGCCTAACAACAGAATGTCAAAATACATGTGGCAAAAACACAGACTGCAAGGAGAACTAGACAAATCCACTATTATAGCTGGAGACTTCAACACCCCTCTAACAGAAACTGACAGATCTAGCAAAAAGAAAATCAATACAGACACAGTTAATTGAACAATATAATCAGTCATCTGAATTTAATTGATATTTGTAAAATATTTCTTCAACAATAGCAAAATACACATTCTTCTCAAGCTTGCATGGACCATTCATCAAAATAGATCACATTTTGGGCCATAAAGTACTTCCTAACAAATTTAAAAGAACAGCAACAAAGTATGCTCTCAGACCACAATGGAATTAAACTAGATATCGATAACAGAAAGATAACAGGAAAATGCCCAAATATTTAGAGATAAAATAACATACTTCTAAATAACACATAGGTCACAGAAAAAGTCTCCAGAGAAATAAAATGTTTTGAACTAAATGAAAATGAAAACAGAACTCATCAAAATTTGTGGCATACAGTGAAAGCAGTGCTTAGAGGGGAATTTATGGCACTCAATGCATACATTAGAACAGATCTCAAATCAATAATCTAACCTTCACTCTTAGGAACTAAAAAGAGATAAACAAAATAAACTTAAAGCAAGTAGAAGAAAATGAATAATCACTGAAATTGAAAACAGGAAAACAATAGAGAAAACTGACAAAATAACAAGCCAGTTCTTTGAAAAGATCAGTAAAATTGATAAGCTTGTAGCCAGGTTAACTAAGAAAAAAGGAGAATACACAAAATTAGTGTAAGAAATGAAGGAGAGGCCCTCACTACTGATCCCATGGCAATAAAAGAATCATGAAGGAATTTTATGAACACCTGTATGCCCACACATTTGATAACTGATGAAATGGACTAATTCCTTGAAAAAAACAATCTACCAAAACTCACAGAAGGAAAAAGAGATAATCTGAATAGGCCTATATCTATTAATAAAATTGAATCAAAAATTTTTTCCAATAAAGAAAGCACTAAGCCCGGATAGTTTTACAGGTGAATTATACCAAACACTTAAGGAAGAAATGATATCAATTTGCTACAATCTGTTATAGAGAATAGAAGCAGAGGAAATAATTCCTAACTCCTATGAGGCCATTATTACCCTAACACCAAAACCAGACAAAGACATTAGAAGAAAAAGTATAGATCAATATCTCTCATAAACATAGATGCAAAAATCCTTAACAAAAAATTAGCAAATTGAATCCAGCAACGTATAAAAAGGATTATATACCACGACCAGCTGGGCCTTATTCTAGGTATGCATACTGGTCCAACGTTCAAACACCAATTAATGTAGCTGGCTGGTTATCTCAGTTGGTTAGAGTATGGTGTTTATAACCCCAAGATCAAGGGTTCAGATTTCCATACTGACCAGATGCTAAAAAATCAAAAAAACAAACCAAACCAAAACCAAACCCCCAAAATCAATTAATGTAATCCATCATAACAACAAGGTTAAAGAAGAAAAACCTTATAATTTAAAAATATATGATAATCACTAGACACAGAAAAAGCATTTAATAAAATTCAACACCCATTCACAATAAAAACTCTCAGCAAACTAGGAATAGCAAGGCATTTCCTCAACTTGATAAAGAATATCTACAAAAACTCCATAGTTAACATCATACTTGATGGTGAGAAACTAGATGAAAGCAAAGATGTCTCTGCTCACCACACCTATTCAACATGTACTGGAAATCCTAATTAATGCAATCTTTGATTACTAATTCAAATTCTTTACTATTCACATTGTCTAGTTCTTTTTGAGTCTGTTTTGGTAGTTTATATCTTTCGAGGAATTTGTCTCTTTTATCTAAGTTATCTAGTTTATTGGTATACAATGAAATAGCATACTTCATAATCCTTTTGGTAGTTATGTCCCCTCTTTCATTTCAGATTGTATTTATTTATATAATAACCATATTTTAATATGACTTTATGTTCTGCTTTTTTCCAACACTCCACTTGAACTATTTTTCCATAGTACTTTTAGTCTTCATTAATATTAATGAGAGGCTATATAATTGACAGCTTACTTCTTCAACACTTCTCTTTTGTAGAAGTTAGGTAAATACTTTCTTACGATGCTTCAAGAAACATTTCTTGAAGAGACATGACAGAATCCCTGGGTCATAGGCACCATCACTGAACTGTTTTCCTCAAGGAGTCCACCATGAATTACACTCCAGCCTGGTGCCCAAGAGCTCTCAGCCTTGCCTGCCTCCTCCCTGCTTACCAGCACATCTAACCATGGGCCAGCTGTTAGCCCCTAAACTGGGTACTGTCTTTGGGCTGTTCTCCGTACTGGTAGCCCCAGGTCATAGAAATGTGGACAGGTACACCAGTGTCTAGAATTCTGAACTCTTTCCATTTGTACCCATATAAAAATTGGAAAAATCACAAGCCCTTGACTCTGGTCTGTGAAATCAAAGAGCCTGTTTCCCACTCTTCTAATGCTTTTCAACAGGGAGTAGCATCCACCTGCAGGCATAGATTAATGTTCTGAAAGCCCTAAGTGAGTGCTTCTCAAAATACTTAAAATCTTTCTTAAAATTTCAAGTGTTGTGTAAACTATAGCTTTGTAAAATGCAGTAAGAATGTCATAGCAATGACAAACTATCACATAAGTTTCTAGATGATTTGATCACTTTCTGAGCCCATCTCAACACTGGCCTATGAAGTTCACTTTGCTTGGCACTGTCCCAGCTTAGGCTGCTCCACTCTATGGCTGGGACTTCTACTAGAGCCTTTGGGAGTCTCCTCACCTCCTGCCTCTGCCTGACACCCCATTCAGGGGCCCTGTGGCCAGTAGCCCCTTGGGAATTGCACCTCCCCAGCCCCCTTATGGGCTGGCACCAGTGGTCACCCTGTGCCCCTGGGAGCACTAGGTTGTGGATCCACAGCAGCTGATCCTGGACCCACACATTTGCTGAGGAAGAGCACAGCTGGCTGGAGCTGCTCAACTTATGAATGGGCTTCATCCTAGGTTCTTTCTGCTCAGACCAACTTGCCCGGTAGTCACCCACCCCAGGTCCCTCTGTGCCTCTCCCTGACACTTGGCTTCGGGGCAGAGTGCAGTGGGGGACCCACAGTTTTACCCAGGACTGCCACTCTGTATCTGGGAAGCTAGCATTCAGCTCTCAGACTCACCTGAGGCTCTTGGCTAATAAGTGCCACAACAACAGGGGCTGACATGGGCTGCTCACCTTGAGACAAGGACCAGGACAAGGCTTTATAGGCACTCTTCAATGCTCAAGGAACATCTTTTATGAGGCAGTTCTCCTGGGAGGCCCATTCTGCCTGTGAGGCACCGAAAGACTATGCATCTTCTGATCATAGAAGACTATGTATTCAAGATCAACTGACCAGGAAGTAGGGAGCTGGGACTCAACTGCAGGGCTTATGGCTCTGAGCACTGCCCTGCACCACCAGGTGACACTGTGTCGCAAGGGCAAACTTCCACTGATCAGTGTTTTAAAGAGTTCTTCCTGGTTTTCATTGAGAAACAATGCATGAAATAGTCATATCAAGAAAGCTTCTGCATTTTCTGTAAAGCTTTTATTAAAGATACTGGGCCTTGTTTTATTCCATTTTCCTCATATGAGGATCTAACCCAAATTCCTCTCAGAATTTAGCACCAGCCTCTTGGAGGCCCATCAGACACACATTCTGTCTTGGAAGCAGGAAGCTCAGCCCTAAGTGAATGCTCACTTACTGCCACGAATGACAAACCTGATGGCCCCTTATTCTATAGGTCTTGCTAGAGCAGTATGTACGGCTGAAAGGTCTTGCGAGATCTTGGGAACACAATGCTAAGGGACCAACCCCAGTGGCATCAGGACCCCAGGACATGCAGTCAAGACTTTGCCACTAGCAGCCCAATTCAAGGGGTATCCTCTGTGCCTCTCAGTCAGGGTGTACACCATCCAAGAGATAAGAAATAGTGTGACCAGGGTATGGAAACCCCCAAGGCAAACAAGGAGTGGCTTCCTCAAGGAGCAGAAAGACCTTCTGTGTATGGCACTGTTTCTCTCAGGTGAGGCTTTAATTTTATTTATTCTGTTCAGGACTCACTCCATTTCCAAACCTAAGGTTTTAATACTTTCCAGTAAGCCTGTTACTCCCTCTTGACAACTGCCCTGCAGCATGTCCTCTATGGGGGACTCCGGCAAGCTGCACAAGGACTCTCCCTCTGCTCACCTCCTCACCTCTGTGGCATTCTGGCTAGTTCCTCAGACTGAATGCTCTCTTCAGCTGGCTCTGATCTGCTCTCTGAAATATCCACTGACTTTTTAACTGCAGTGACTACTGTACTATTTTTCTTTTCTAAAAATATTTTTTGGTTAATTTCCAAATCTGTCTGGTCTGTTTTTTTTTTTTTTTTTTCCTTTTTGTCTTTTTTCGTGTCCAGCAACGGATCGCAACCCTCAGTGTCGTGCCCGGACCGGACCGGGACCAGCAACGGGATCGCAACCCTCGGTGTTGCTCCCACACCTCGCTCAGCCAGTGAGTGGGAACCGGTCTGTATGTGGGATCCGAACCCTCGGCAGGAGCGCCACCGCGCTCACAAGCGGCGCACTGTAGCAGTGTGCCACCAGGCCAGCCCTGTCTGGTCTGTTTTGATGGTGTGTTATTCTTTTTATTTTTTATTGAGACATAATCCACATACCATAAAATCTACCATTTTAAAGTATGGAATTCAGTAATTTTCATTATATTCATACAATTATGCAACCATCACCACTGTCTAATGCCAGAGCATATTCATAGTTCCAAAAAGAAACTGTACCCATCAGCAATCACTTCCCATCCTCTGCTCCCCCTAGTCCCTGGATACCACTAATTGTTGTCTCTGTGAATTTGCCTATTCTGGACATTTCATATAAATGAAGCCATACAATATGTGGGTCTCTGTGACTGGCTTCTCTCACTTAGCATGTCTTCAAGGTTTCTCCCTGTTGTAGCACACTTATGTACTCTACTCCTTTTTATTACTGAATAATATTCTATTGTATAGGTATACCACATTTTGTCTATCCATTCATCAGTTGATGGACATTTGGGTTGTTTCTACTTCCTGGTTATTATAAGTAGTACTGATATGAACATTCATGTACAACTTATTGCATAAAAATGTTTTCAATTCTTTTGGATATATACCTAGGTATGGAATTGCTGGGTCATATGATAACTCTGTTTAACCATTTGAGGAACTGCCAGACTGTCTTCTCCCATCCACAGTGTATGAGGATTCCAATTTCTTCCTATTCTCACCAACACTTCTTATCTGACCATTTGATCTTTAGATTATAGCCATCCTAATGGGTATGAAGTGGTACTTCACTGTGGTTTTGATTTGTATTTCCCTGATGGCTAATTATGTTGGGTGTTTTTTTTTTTTTTAATGTGCTTATGGGTGATTTGTGTATCTTCTTTGGAAAAATTTCTATTCAAATACTTTGACTGTTTTATTTCATTTATTTATTTATTTTTCAATGTTATACTTTTCTTGTTCTCTTTTAAAAAAGGAAAAAGAAATGTCCCCGAGACTGTTTTTTTTTTTTTTGAAATTCAAAGAGAGAGAGATGCAGACATGCACATCCCAAACATGGAAGCCTACAAAATGCAATTAGAAGATGAGGATTTGATTGTTGCCAAAGTCCACCATGGCGATCATTCTGTCAGTGGTGATGGCGATGCTGGAAGAGTGGTCCATCTGCCCAAATCTGCTGCCTTGAGTGCCAAACTTGTACAAGAAGCTGCCACTGGATTTAAACGTCCTGTGTTCCTGGAATCAGCTACAATGATGAGCCCTTCCTGGTCCACGGCCATGTCTTTGGGCACAGGAACTGTCCATTGCCAGTGTCCTTGGAGCCCAGCAAGTGTGCCGATTGGTAGTTTGGGTGAAGACCAGGAGCTGGTCGTTGTTGAAGTTGGTGACCACCAAGTGGTCCTCATGGTTGAAGGCCACACCTCATGGGGAGTCAAAGTGCTTCCAGAGAGCTCCTTCAAAGCCATACTTATTCAGGAAGAACCCATCAGGCCCAAACAGCTAGATCTGGTGGTTCCACATGTCTGAGACCAGGGTCTTGCCNACCCATCAGGCCCAAACAGCTAGATCTGGTGGTTCCACATGTCTGAGACCAGGGTCTTGCCTTCAGAATTCACTGCCACATCCCAATGGTAGTTGAACTGACCGTTCTTGGTTCCTTTCTCACCGAATTTGAGGAGGAACTGGCCCCAAAGGTGAAGATCTTAATGTGATGACTGTCCTTGTCAGCCACCAAAATCCTGTGTGAGGTGTCACAGGCCACCCCCACTGATCAGTCAAACTGCCTGGGCCAGGAGCCCAGGGTGCTGAATTTGTGGTGGAAGGTATTGCAGGGCCTGAACACCAAGATGCGGTTGTTATTGTGGTTGGAGACAATGATGTAGCCCTCCTTGTCTACACTCATGCCCCAAGGGTGGCAGAGCTTGCCATTGTTGTCACCCTCACTGCCGAAGCTCAGGTCCAGGAGGCCGGTACACATGTAGCTGCGGTCTGACTTGACCACCAGCTTGAAGGGGTTATTTGCAATGTGCTGGTTGCACATGGTCACCAACACCAGGTGTTCACCCTCCAGCTGGGGCTGGTAGCTCATCACATAAGTCCTGTTCTGCTGACTGCTCACCTCTGCACCAAACAGGTTGCCACTGGGGCCCAAGAACATGGCTGACATTAGTCCCCCAAGAGATGGGGCTTGCCATCATGGTCATAGCCAATGACAGTGAAGGAGGCCATCTTACCCTGGAGGGCCCGCTTGAGGATATCATCTGTGGCCTTGGTGAGCTGGGCAAAGGCCTCACTGCTAATGAAACCAAAGGACTTCATCTGTTTTAAATTGTATTGTTAGTATTTTTTTTTTTTTT